TTTCAAAAAGTGGAGGAAACCTCTGAGAAAAATCTGGGTTGATGAGCATCTAAGAAAAGCCAGGAGGAAGGAGACACATCTATATATGTTTAGGCAGAAAATAGAAAAGGTTGAAAAGCAATGTTTCTAAAATACTGCTTCTATGAAAGCAACCTTCTGTTATTCCTTTACTCGCCCATTGACTGAAAAAGGCAGCGTGATTTCCATTTTCTTTTCATGTCCTCCTAAGCCCAGGCTAGAGAATACAGCGGCATGCAGCTCTGATGAAGGTGGGGCATGCAGCTCTGATGAAGGTGGGCTTGGGTTCAAATCTTGCCACTTAATGAAGTGACACTGGGCAAGGCACCCACCTTTCTGCAACTCAGTGTTAGCCCAAGAAAAATGAGTAACAACATTGAATTTGCTGGATTAAGGGCAGAATTATAAGTCATGACAATAAAGTATGTGCCAGCCAGTGGACACTTAACAAATGCCTTCTGAGCAGCTACTATTGTCTGAGTAACAGAGTTGCCAAAGGTGAGAAAAGTTCATAAGGTTTCTGACCTCCTGAGTTTAGAATCTGGCGAAGAAGAGATGTTACTCAAATTATAACCAAAGAAATACATAACTGCCAACTGTGATAAATAGTATGAAGGGAAAATTGAGTCTGCTCAGAGAGAAAAATGGAGTCTAGTCAGGAAGATCTCAGGCTGGGAAAACAAGGATGAAGGATTGACTAGCAACAGTAGTAAGAGTGGGACCAGCCTGTGCTAGAGGTCTGGGGACAGAAGTGGCACTTGAGAAGCAGAAGAAAGGTCAGAGTGCCGAAGTGTAGAAAAGGGGAATAAAGCTAAAGAATCCTCAATATCTCCCTGTAAGCCACAGAAGGGATTGAAAGGTTGTGGTCATGGTCTGCTGAGAAGGGGATACCACAAAGCTGAAGATGGGCTCTCAGGTCTTCAATTGACATTTCTAAGATAACTCCACTGCAGCTCTCTTTTCACCTCTGGACCCCATCCTAGTTAGAGAAGTAGCAATATTTTCATGATTACCAAATATTACAAAAACTACATGCATATATATATTCCAAGAGAACAAGGCGGAAGAACATGTATTATCCACCATTTACTACCTTGGGAAATATCTACAATTACTCCTAATTTACTATCCCTTTGAATCCCTGGTTTTCCACAGTCACACCAATATTTCCTATCACATGTGCTCTCCTTACAACATACTCTGACATGCCTCCACTAAGTAAATGATGACATCTATTTCCTTGAACTTGGGCTGACACTCACTGCCTTGACCAACAGGAAAGTGATATCATGTCACTTCTGAGGCTAAGACATGAAAATGCCATGCAGTTCTACCTTATTCTCTTGGAACACAACTACCATGCTCTGAGGAAGTTCAAACCAAGGCACATGGGCAGGCCACATGCAGGTGTTCTAGTTGACATCTCAGCTGAGGGTCCAGCCAACAGCTGGCATCAACCCCAGGCATGGGAGTGATGTCGCCAGATGACTGCAGATACAGCTGCCAAGTCACCTAGCTTTTCAATCTTTTCAGCTGAGCCCCCAGGCATAATGCATCAGACAAAAGCCATCCTCCAATATGCTCTGCCTAAATTCCTTGGCCACAGTATCCATGAGCAAAAAAAAATAAAATACCTATTTTATACCACTACATTTAGGGTGGTTTCTTATGCAGCATTAGTAACCGGGACAGAAAGTATCTCAAAGTATGTGTGTGTGAAAGTGCTTATGTATATATATATATATATACACACACACACACACACACACACACACACACACATATTTTATTCACTATTCACCTCCCAGGAACCTTCTTCAGGAAATGGTTACTACTGAGTTAAAACTCCTGGGCTTTATCTACACCACTTCTAGAAAAAAGATGATCAGGTTCCTTACTTCAAATAATAATTAAACACTTTTAAAACACTCAAAACATTAAAAAGTAATCCATCCTCACTGCAGAAAGAAAGGAAGAAAGAAAGGAAGGAAGGAAGGAAGGAAGAAAGAAAAGAAAAAAAAGAAAACGCTTGTTAGCAAACCCAACAATTTATTTCATCTGGCTTTGAAAACAGAGATCAAAAATGAGATCTTCATTGACAACTAAATAGGACACCCAGTGCTCTTTTTCCTCTGCTGAAGGTTCAAACATCTGCAAAGACTGCTTGTTGATTGAATAAGGCAATGCCTATAAAGTGTACTTGGCACAGTGACTGCCTTTTAAGAGCGTACCAAATTCCAGTTACTAGTATTCCTTTGTTGCAAGAATTAACATTTTTCTTGATTCCAACACTAACTCTTTCAACCTATATTTTACAACACTCCTTTTCCATCTCAGCAGAAAATAATCCATACTGTTTGGTTAAATGTCAAGAAAGGGACCCCAGATTCCATATGATTAGAAATATTATATAACATTATGTAACATACCTGCCACACACTTCTATTTTGGTTTAGTAAAAAAACTGGTCTTTGTATTTAAAAAAAAAGTTAATATATGTTAGAAAAGAGGTTTCTGAGAAGTTACACTTAATCACTGCATGGCTTTCAAGATGAATAAACAAAAATGTTACCTTTGATCATTATGAAGGTACTCTCTGTGTTGTTATATAAATATTACAAAGCTGCACCCAGATGGTGGTATGAATACCAGGGAACAGAAGTGAGATCAAAGAGCCAGGTCACCTCTGACCTGGCTGATTTCTTCCTCTATTCATCAATTGCTGTGTGACCTTAAGCAAATCACTTAGCCTCTCTTAAGTCCCAGGATCTTTAAAACAAGGCTAAATTCCAAACATTTTATCCATACTAAAAGGTCCCTTAAGTAGAGTAGCCCCAAGTTTCCAAGGTACTCGTCACAATTCAAATACTTAAATATGCTGAATGACAACTTCCCCAGCAAAATAATCACTTGCAGATTCAAACACATTAATTAATATCTTTAAAAGTATCTCAAAAACCGGTACATTGTTGCAAAACATTGCTGTTCATTACATAATGAAATTATTGACTTATAATAGAAGGAAAAGTAATTCGACAAAGAATTATGACTGGCATACGAGCTGGGGGAAATAAATGGAGGTTGGGTGGCATCCCCTTAACACCATTGGCTCTTCACTATTATCTTCAGGTGCTGGGGTAAGGGTCTTCTTAAGCCCCACAATTATGGGAGGGGATGTAGAAGGGGAAAGAGAATAAGAATGATAAGGAGAAGAAAGAGAGATCAAGAGAAGAAATGGCGGAAAGGGCTATGCCGTGGAACTAAATCTGAGTCACTGGCACCTGAACCGAAATGTCACTGCTAAGGAAACCATTTCAAAATGACGTTCTAGTCACCAGGTTTTCAGTTTGCAGAGTGTCTTGACACTCCTTCCTCCAGAACGTCCCAGCTTTCTTGGGGCCCAGACAGTCCCATGCCACCGATGGACTTAATTGTATGGGTCACTTTCTCCATCCAGAAAAATATCTTTTCTATCCTGGAAAGCGGTGGGAACTGCATGACTCATAGAGTCCCAAAATGCAAGAAAAATGGCCAGCATGTAATTGACTTGGAAGGGCCCTTTCCAAAGGTGGCATGAAAAACAGACTGGCTTTTAACTCGCAGAACCTGAGATTGAAAGGAGGTTCATGAAAACCCTGTTGGTGAGAACTGGCAGGTCCGACTCTGCCTTTGGAGAGAGGTCTACTTCCCTCACTCAGCACAGTCCCCCTTCCTGATGTCTGTTTCCATCGTCAGACAATCTTGGATTCAGGAGCAATGGTAAGAACTGTGGAGTCTTAACAGCTTCACTGAAGACCAGAACAGACTCTCATGTTACCATATATGATGAAGTCTGTCAACAGATCTGCTAAGACCTGAACTAAGATGGACCATCTGCTTTCCCCACAAAGCATGAGACCAGTTAATTTGCAGAAGATCCCTTAATTGATGAACTTTTAAAAATATGTACAGTCACTATCCAAACGCCTTTATTGTGCACTTCATAACACCTTGTATTAAAGCTACATCTATCTTAATACCAAAGCACATATTTGTAACTGCTTTTTCTCACAATTATTTATATAACTATTTTCCCAGGAACCATGCCACTTGAACGGCTGGGATATAAAACTGTTTTACAACAGTTTTTCTTGCAAGTCTTTCCTCTGTTTTTTAGACAGCTGCACCTCAGGATCCAAATTGTTTTTCAGTGGACAACTGTTCTGAGCACATTTCTCCACAAGATCTATTTCAGCTCAAGGAAGGCCAAGGACAAAGATTAAACAAAAGTTGTGTGTTAGAGGGTGGGCCCACTGCAGGGTATCATAAAAGCAGAGTGTACAGTGAGGAGCAGTTCAGTCCAAACCATTTCTTCCAGAACTGCAAGTCCACAAAAAGGATCAGTCGTCCCAGAGACTGGTTAGTTCAAAAGAAGAAGTCCATTCCTAAACCCTAGCCAAGTGGCCAGCACTTTTTTCCTATCCGAAGTTCCCGGCATCTGTTCTGAAAAGCGGGTATGGAGCTTTCTACCTGGCCCACCCTGCCTGTTCCATATGGAGAACACTTGGGAACTCCGTGTTCAATCAACCAGGCCCCTTCATGCCCACAACCCAAAGAGTATACAGGTGGTTATCTGCACAGGTACCGAATCTTAACCAGGTCAACTTTATTGGGGTATTTGCTTGGGGTAAAAGTCCCTGTCGCCCCCAACACAAGTCCCTACAGCTTGTGGACAAGTGCCTCCGAAAGACACAGGTAAAGAGATAAGGGTTCCTGGGAGCCAGCCTGGCACCCCAGGGTGCTTGCTACTTCTATGTGAGCAGTCTTCGCCTTCAGGGTCCCTCTGCCAGAGCCCCTCGGAGGCGCAGTATGAGTTCTCGTGCTCGGAGATCCCCGCCGGCCCAGCTTGCTCGCCCTATGCCCAGCCCAGGGAGCCCCGAGCTGCCGGAACCCCGAGCTGCCAGAGCCCCAAAGCATACTCAGGGCAGGCAGTGAGCACTCACCATTATGTTCTTGCATGCTCGATAGCGACCAGAGCAGCAGCGCCACCAAGGCCAGGAAGCAGAGCTGGCTTAGCAGAAGGTCTCTCCGGCGACTCCGGCGACGCTCGCGGTCCTCCTCCTCGGGCGTTGGCATCCTAGGAAGGCAAGGCAGCGGCTCCGGCGGGCGGCAACCGCTCCGGTCGCGGGCGACAGCGGCGGGAACAGAGGCGGGAGGCAGCCCTGAGCTCTGCAGTCGCGCGTCCTCGCTGCGCTCCTGCCCGGCCGCTGCTGCAGCCTCCTTTTCCTCTTCCTCGCTGCTGCCGGTCTTCTTCTGGTCTTGGTCCTCGTTGTCGTTATCGCTCAGTCCCTCCTCTCCCTCCTCTCCCTCCTCTCCCTCCTCCTCCTCGCCTCGGGCCCGCGCCGCCGCCTCGCGGCACTCGGGGTCCCTCTCCTCGTCGCGCGCCATGGCTCCCACGCTCGGCGTCCGCACTCGGCCTCAGCGGCGGGACGGCGGGGGTGGCGGGGGTGGCGGGGGTGGCCCGGAGGCGGGGGCGGGGGCGGGGGCGGCCGAAGAGGAGGAGGAGCAGGGACTGACCAGCGGGAGGAAGCCCTGCCGCTGGCCAGCTCCACCGGCTGGCGAGGCTACCCGAGCTGGCTCCGGCCTCACCGGCTGCAGAAGCGCTTCTCTGGGCCGCCGCCTACTCCATCGTTCGCGCGGGGAACCGAGGCCGAGCTGGTCTGGAGCGCGTGGGGAGCACTAAACGAGGCGGGAGCACGAAGGCGCAACTCTCCGCACCCTGCAATGTTACAGAGGCTCGAGCTCGGGTGGGGGGCAGTGTGGGGACGTAGCCCAGCGCTGGCCAGCACCACGCAGAGGGGGCGCGTGGGGAGGAGACTGAGCTGAGAAGGAAGCCCCGTGCGCAAGCCTTCACTCGTTCTGTGCCAGGGGAAGGGGGGTGGCGAAGGAGGTTCCCTCTCGAGAAACAAGCCGCGGAAAGACGGCTTGACCAAAAAGATGTTTTCACCGGAAACTTGAGGAGAATCCAGGGTCTCTTCAGTATCCCACCCACCTTCTGCCCAGAGAGGGGGCATCCAGCCATCTGCTTCGCCTCCTTCAACGGGCCTCCTGGGCTTCCCTCCGCCTCCTTGTGGGGATCCCCCTGCGCGCCAGTTTCTGGACTTGGAATAGGACTGCCCAGAGGCTCTTGGCTTACTGGGGGGTGTCCTGGCTCCCCCCTCTGGTCCTGGCAGGCACTTCACTCCTTGATTGTGCTGGAGGAAGCCAGATGCTGTGGCTGAAGGAAGTGGGGCAGCTGGCACTGTCCCTGGGTGAAGCTGCCTGGGGTTTCTCGCCAACCTTGGGAGGAGGCTCCTGGGCTTCAGGTTTTGGTCAGGGAGCATCAGCCGGCTCCTCCCTCTGAGGTTAGAGCCCTAGTACCCCCATTCCCTTCCCTCCAGTGTGTTGACTGTCGTAGAGTCTGGCTACATCCACAGCCCTGTGGAAGGTGTGCATTTAGAGAAAACACCTAGGGGTGTCAGGCATACCCACCCTCCCTCCTCAGGCTTCCAGTCTTCCTCCTGGTGCCTCCCTAGGGCTGCTGGCTAGGATGGCTGATGAATACAGCCCTGAGGAGGAGATGCATTTGTGGTGAGACTGAAAACAAAAGGTCTTATTCATTAAAGGATCACTTGGAAACCAGGTGTCTGAGTGACTGTCTCCATTGCATTCGATCATATCAGGAAATCTAGGTGAAGAGGAAGGAGGGGGACTCTGTACAAGTTTCTCCACTCTCTCGTCTGGGAGGACCCAGAGTGTCCAAGCGTGGTCCTACCCGTGGGTGACCTCCTAGCCCACAGCCTCCCGGATAACCAACCGCATCTCAAGATGGGTGGCTTGCTTTCCACAGAGACACCATTTCACCCAACAAGACTGGAAAACTTGCTTCCTGGTCATATTTATTTACTCCTGTTCTCAGCTTGGCATCTGACCGGACACACAGAGCACCTTCTCTACCATGTCTTTCCCTACAATGTGGGTGTTCCTTTGCTTTGATTACCAGGTACAGAGGAAGATTTTAAAATATTTAAGTTCATTCAGGCTAGACTGTGTGTGGGAGATTCTTCACAATATCTTCATCATTCGGAGACATGTAAATAAAAGTTTAGGAGTTCAAAATACTCTTTCAATCAACTAACCAGGAAATACACTCAAGTTGCTTTTTTTAGTTTACATAGGGAAAATAAAAGTGAGATAGAAAATCTGGAATTAATTGGATTAGAGGATGAACACTAGCTCAGGAGAAAATTGCCAAAGGCAAAAGGAATTGTGTAATCTAGTGATGGGAGAAGTGTTAGGAAGGAAGCAAAGGGAAGGGGGAGAAAGCAGGAACTGGCAATTCCTTGGAAATTCTCTCAGCACCTGCAGTGAATGAAAGGAAAAAAAAAAGAGCAAGGGGGGAGGAAAGGAAGAGTGGAGAGAGAAAAAAAGAAGTTGCTCCTTGGCACATAGAAACGATTTTTAAGTTAATATTCATTTTGACAGATTTCAAAGCGAAGGAGTGTGTTGAAGTACAACAGAGACAAAGACCCCAGAGGAGCCAACAACCACCCAAAGAAGAAAACTGGTGTCTTCTGGTCCATAATCTGACAGTAACATGGCCTGGTGGGGTCCTGATCCCATACTCCAATGGATCCTCTGGGAGCCAGTTGTTCAGGGAAGGTCCTTCTCTAGCCAGAAATTCCTCTTCTCCCCTCCCTCCAACAGGTACACTTGTAGGAATCAGGTTCTCAAGTCCTCTGTGAACAATGGGCAAGAGACAGACCCCAGTGCGCTCCTTTTCCAAGAAAAACAGTTATTTGTGTCCTGTCTCTCCCAGGAAGCTTCCCTAGGAAACTTTTGTTAGAAGCAGGACCTGAAATATCTAATGTGCTATTTATCTTCCACCATTAGGATCCTCATCAACACTAAGATAGTTTTTGCCTTTTACTTTTTTATCTGTTTGGTCTCACATTCTGTGCAGGGAGTCTTAGGGAGAAATTCCAGACCCTAATACATTCGTCTGAGAATTAACTTGCTTAGAAATAGATACCACTCCAAGATGTGCCCAGGCCTTCTCCTTTCCAGAAATAAGACAGGCATGTTTACATAACACCTCCTCACCCTGGGCTGGGAGCTGGGTGTCACCACTCATGCCCCCTGTTTTTACCTCCCGTAAACATTTCATTTCCAGTTCTGTGCAATGATTTTGAGCCTGATGTGCAGTCACAGAAGTGGTTCATCTTTCTCATAGATCTGCGTTTATAACAGAATAATAAACCTTCCAAGATCACATTCATTGATGCTCAGCTCAGACCAGCTCTTAGCTAGCCATGAATAGGGATTTATCTTTGCCTAGACAACCAGCACCTTCTGGGCCCTCCTGCATAATTTCCAGGTCTCCTGCCTCCCTTTACCCACAGCGCCCAGACCTGACACAGCAGTTTCCACAACAAAGCCAAGTTGTGTCTCCATAACAACAAACAATACCAATTGTGTCAGATAAACCACTGATTGAGAGGGGAGGGAGGTAGGGAAGGAGGAGAGGAAAAATCAGAAAAGCCACTTTCTTGGTGAGGTACCAAGTCAGCCTCCTGGCTATGGCTGCTCCATAATATAGGGAAACATAGTCCAACCAAAGAGAGGAGAGATAACTAGATGTCCATAAAAAAACTTTTAAATACATTAAGGCCAACTGTTGGTGAATGGGGGAATTAAAGAAACTCTTCAATGGACTGTTCCTGGAACAGTCCTCAATGTAACACCCGATTTGGGCATGCTGGAAGACTTCAACATTCAGGGCTCACCTCGCTGGTCACTGTCTAGCCACGGAAACAAATTCACCAGCTGCTCTTCACTCCCAGATGTGTCACCCGACGCACAGTCACCCAGATCTAGACAAGACCCCAACTTCACCCAGGAAGACCTGACAACTCCCCCCCCCCATTCTTGTTCACTGCCTTTATTAAAAAGCCAGTAAAATTCCTCCTTTAGGGTTTTCCTGAGCTGTTGGTATTTCAAAGAACACAAAAGAATTGGTCCTATGAGTGTGTTGATTGCACACTCCACATCATGAGGCATTTGAGAGCACTGCATTGGCAAGGTGGGGCTTGTGTTAGTTTAAGTGTTCAGTTTACAACTGAAGTTAAAAGAAACTGCTTACTTTATTGTAGTTTCCAATTTTTTTAATTTCCTTTTTGCCCAACTGTCTGCATATGTTTGGCAATTTTGACTCACTACATGGATATTATTGTAGATTTCTTCTTTATTGTGAACCATTGCCATATTCACAGTTACCCATCATCTTGCTTTTAATTTATTAAAGTATAATATAAATGCAGGAACATGCATACAGCTTAAGAATTTAGTTTAATTGCTTTGTTTATATGTATACACTCTACATGAGTTCCAAATCATGACTTGGAACATTTTCTGCCAACCGCCCACTGGGCAGTAATTCTCCAAAGATAACCCCTCTTCCCACTTCTTTCACCATAGGTCATTGTTGTCTGTCCTTGAACTTCAGGTAAATGGAGGCTACTTTTGCTCAGCCTTATGTCTGTGGGACCTGTCCACAATAATGTATAGAACTAGGGTTTGTTCTTTTTCATGATCCTAAATGTAGTTTTTCTTTGTGTGTGTGTTTTTTGTTTTACCTGATGCTTCAGTTCCCGTCCAAGTTTAGTGAAAGCCAAGAATAATCAAACCACTCCCTCTGGATCAGATACAAATGACCTTCCAGATTAACTAGTTTTATAAGGAATTTCAACTGGAATTGAAAGTCATGGGCTGCTTCTCAAATGGGTTACACTGTGGAAGGAGGGGGCTAAGGGTAACTGCAGGACAAGAGGTCATCTGGCAGAATTAGGAGGTCAATTTTTTAAAGACAAGCATAGAAGAATTCCTAAGATGTGCATACACTTTAGAGGCAGCTTTTAAAGAAAAATGTACAACCCATTTCCTGTGCATTCTTTCTAGCCCCTTTTTCTTCTAAATGAGAAGAAAGAGAATAGGTACCATCAGGAAAGATTCCAACAAAACAGAGCCATGGAGCCATGGAGTATCCTTTCAGTGAAACTTGGATAGATATAAAAAGTACAAGGGAGCTTGTTAAGTATGTCCATTACCTAGCTCTTCCTTCAGAAACAGAATTCAGGAGGTCTGGAAGTCTGCATTCTTCATAAACTCCCAGGAATTTTTCTGTGTTAAGGTTTGAGGATTGCTGTTCTAGAAAAAGAACTTGGCATGTGTTTCTGGTGGATCCTGAAGGGAAAATCTTAAAAGGCGAAATATATTACCTAGCCCTTTCTTGTCAATATTTTTAATTGACTTATTTGGGGTGTTTCAAAGAAATAAAGAGAGTATACAAACACCCCCACACCCGTGACCATATTTGGCTCCCGTTTTGCATGAGTTCTATTTTTTTAATT